TTACAGACTAGTCATAAAAATAATTATATGTCTCTAGATGTATTATATGTCTTTTAGTCTTCAGTAATATGACATTTTTCTATTTCTTTTCACATTTAAGTAATAACATTAATACAATTATCTATGCATTAATAGGAGGAGAAATGGATTTGTTGTTATTGCTATGGAAGCAATGGATATTCTTTTACTAGCGTGTCATGCCCAAACATTAAATTTATTTGTTGAAAGTTTTTTAAAAATGATACAGAAGTTGTTGGAATCAACGGATCCAGAGTTACAAATATTAGCAACACAATCTGTAAGTTTCAATAACTGCTATTATGCGCTGATATGTTTGTTCAAATTAAATGTGTTACTATGATTTATATTATTATTATCTTTTTCTGATGCATAAAATAATTATATTTTTGACATCTTTGAATTCAGTTGAACAAACTCCTGGCTTCTTCTAGTTTGTCCGATTTGCCAACATCGAGCAAGATACGCCGTCTTATCACACACGTTACGATTTCTTTGTATCAAAGTACTCTGCAATGTGCCACTCCAATAACGATGACCCTGCGATCCGTAAGCAAATACAACTTGCAGGAATTCAAGGATTACAGGCATGATTTTCTATATTACTTTTATCATGTAACAAATATATTTCTTACATATTTTACACTTAATTCTATCTTTAATAATTTGATAGATCAGTGAGTGAAAACTTTGAAACTAATTAATAGTTTAAAAATTTTGGTATAGGGTGTCGTAAGGAAGACACTTTCAGATGACTTAGTTGAAAACATATGGGAACCTGTTCACATGGATAAAATAGTTCCTTCGTTATTGTATAATATGCAAAATTCGAGGTAATATATTCAAGGGAGTGTGAGATGTATTTAATTCCATTTTGTTCTTAAATTATGATGCTACATTTACAAGTTTGTTCTGGTAGGTATTCTACTAAAGAAGATGCAACACCAGACAATCCAACAGAAGAACGAACTGATCCACCACAATTTGCAGAAACGTGTATGAGAGAACTTGTTGGACGAGCATCGTTTGGTCACATTCGATGTGTTATTAGACCAGTGTTAAGGTATATAAATGCTTTTATTTTAATTGTCGTTTGTTTTCATATTTTTTACTGTAGCAATAACTTATTTACGTAGATATTAAAAAGATAATATTTATTTGCAGACACTTAGATAATCATCAATTATGGGTTCCCAATTATTTTGCAATTCATACGTTCAGAATAATTATGTTTTCCATTCAGGTTAGTAGAAATATATTTAGTCACACAAATACATATAAAGTGAATGTGTGAAATCATTAATATATTTGTTTTAGTCTCAATATTCTTATACAGTTGTAGAGGCACTAATGAATCATCTTGATGATCATTCGAAATCATCCCCGAAAATTCGAACAAGTATCGCAGATACTTTATCTAAAATTATTTCAATCGCAGCCGGTGAAAGCGTTGGTAAATTTCATTGCATCAAATAGAACACAAATATTACTTAAAATGTATCTACGACTTCGTCTGAACCATTTCTTTAATACAAAATTTCTTTCAAGGTCCTTCTGTTTTGGAAATAATAAATTCCCTGCTAACACATCTTCGAATTAGTGTAACAAGAAATCAGTCGTCTAGCAGTGATGAACAATTGTATCAGGAAGCCCTTATTAATGGTTTGGGAGAATTTGCAAATCATCTTCCGGATTATCAAAAGATAGAAATTATGATGTTTATTATGAGCAAAGTTCCATACAGCCAACCAGATCGTGCAGTTTCAGTTGGTAAAGGAGACGTATTGCTCCAAAGCATTCTTCTAAAATCTCTTTTAAAAGTAATTAATACGTCAGAATAATAACAAAATTCATGATTTAGTGTATCTTAATTTCTAAATACTATTTTATTTGTTCCCAGGTTGGCACAAAATATCAAACTATACATTTGAATACGACATTCCCACAGAGCTTTTTGGAACCATTATTAAGAATGTCGCTCGCAGCAGACGCTGAAATGCGACTTTTGGTACAAAAGATTCTTCATACTTTAATCGACAGACATTTAAACATTATGAAACTTGCAAAGCCTACGTAAGTTATTTTTAATCTACCTAAAAAGATTTCATTTCTGCGATTGGCTATTATTATTATGTATTATTATGTATCTGTTAAACAGAGTGAACATCGCGCTTCTTGATCTGACTATTGAGAAAGCATCCAGACCAGATGTAATTTTCATTCGTAAACACGGCCCTGAAATTTATTTAGCGTTATACGAATCATTAGAACTGGCGAGTAATACAGTCGAGAATGTGGAGTCTATATATACAACATTAGCCTTACTTGCTGTAGAATTAGCTTCGGAAGAAACTGTGTTGGAACTATTAAGATTAGTATTGAGTCTTCAAGATTTAGCTTTAACAAGTGGCCAAATCAGTATTTCGCTCAAATTTAACTTGCATAGTATTGTCATCAGCTTATTGGTATTGATTTCTTATGTTTGTAATATTACTTCGCTCATGGATTATACAAACAAAGTAAGTTACAATGTATTTAATGCATCAATACGTTTATAATAGATGTCCACTCTCTAATGTTATTTGAACATTTTAAGATCGTGGAAGCACGTCGAAAAGAAGCACCACATCTTTTACCCGATTTGCAGTCCCAATATGATCCAGGTTTATTATCTAGATTAGCACCAGCTTTATTAGTTGATCAAACTGTTTTAAGCGAATGTTTGAAAGGAGCAGGCCTCGATAGTGGGAAACTGCAACAAGGATCTGGTTACAGCAGTACTTCTTTACAACATCGGTATTATTAGCATTATTTTTAATTTACCTGCTGTTTTTTTGAACTGTTCTAAGTTATAATGATATGTTAATCAACTGTCCTTAGACATTCATGGGTTGATAGTGCTGGACGAAATTCGTTAGCTGACATAAACTCAGGTGGTACAGAATTAGATAGTGGTGGCTCATCCCCTGGAGTTCAAAAGGTACGTTAATTTTACTTGTATATTCTAACATACTTTCTATCTTTTACTCATTTCATCAACACTTACATGTTATAGAAGTTACCAGGCGAAGAGTTAACTTTCGAAAGCATGAAGAGGATCCTAACGGAGAATAATAATAACCATGTAATGGAAGAAGAAAAACGATTACAACTGTCGAACTTCTTTAGAAATGCACCATTCCAAGATTTGGTGTCGAAAACTCAACCAAAGGTATGGATATGTATATTTGATTAATATAATAGAACAATGTCTTGTGTGTTTATAAAATATATGAATTATTGTCAACATTTTGAATAATTTTGCAGCATGACGTTCTCCAAAGTAAATTATCAGAAATATTTAACACGTTAGCTGTCGATCCTCGTAATACATCCCAACCAGGTGGTCCACCGACAGATACCAAACCAAGTCAAGCGCCAGCTTATGAAATACATTTCCCAGAATTGTTTGTTTATTAAACCAGTATATGCCTATGTAATTATAGACAAGTTATACGCTATAGCAATTATTACATGCCAACAATAATTTATATTATTTATATATTTATATGGAGTGTTCATAGAAATGTTCTTTTTACACATAGTGCATTTTGATAACTTCAACGCGTATACAGAATTATAACATAAATGTATATATTTATTTGTAGTTGCATTGAAAGTATGGACAACTATCCTTACAACGGTTCAGTTTAACTAATGTGTAATAAGCATTATCTCGATTTTTTTTACATAATTTGTATAAATACTTTAAGTAAAGCGGGAAGTGTAATTCTCAATTACATAGTTGTAATTTATGATATTGCATACTTAGTGACGCGCAATTCGTGCTGTGTTTATATTTACGTGACCTGCATAAAATAACACTGCTGATTAATTTCGGCGTTGCTGACATTACTGATAAACCGACTACTAACACACCGAAATATTTTATCGAGAAAACTTGCTTTGCTGCACATCACTGACGTGAATTGTACAAACTGTATCAAAATTGTAGATGATGAGGTTGTAAAAATGTTAGATATTCATATACATTGTAATTAAAACAAATCAAGCTTGTTCGAAACCGTTAAGCATTTTCTCGGAGAATATATGTTAATTGTGGACTAATAAATACATTCAGAAATCAAAACAAGACAATTTATTGAATTTTTGCATGTAAAGGTCCATCTATTACAATATCAGTACAATCATTCTTCTTTGCATTATTGCAAGATTTTATACAAAATATCCAGGTGATTGTTTACCAAGTACTAAGTAATTGGAATGAACACAGATGTCAGATTATATATCAAACGTTTTAAGATTTATTTAATTCAATTACTCATAATAAGAATGCTATAGATTAGCATTTCATTGAGTAATGTAAAGGGATAATCTTATCAAGGCATAAAAGAATACAAGAAGTATTCACATATTCCGTATCAACCGGTCCTTGGGTGTTTGTGTACAATTGTAGTTTATAGCTTATATAATCGTGCAATAGTGGAACACAAAGTTAATGTCTGAAATTTTTCTTTCATTCTTATGAGCAATCGAATTAAGGTTAGTATGTAAAACATACCACTCGTACAATGACTACTTAAGGTAATGCAATTTGAAGCGTTTAATTATCAGTGGTTCTGATGTGTGTAGTCAATTCAGTATACCCTGGAAAAACTCTTCAAGGCTCCACCTTCAACAACTCCACATCAAAGATAAGAACAGCATTTGGTGGAATAGTGTGTCTTTGTCAAGGAGAATATAACAAAATATACTTTATGTACAATAAATTAAAAAGTTGATGTTAAAGTAAATAGTTTAAAGTATTAAAGGATGATGAATCTGTTGATGTATTTTCATCAAATATTAATAAATAGTAATGATTTTACGAATTACGTAAATGAATTTTTAAACATTTACCGTACTTGTAATCTGTGTTTCTCGAAAGAACATATTTGGAATATATTCATGGTCATAATAGGTAACCACTCTAGTCTGTGTGAATAGGCTATTATAACTATAAACAGTCCCTATCCAAAGGAACAAATAAAAATATAATAGTATATATTATACTATAAATATGTACTTTATATTAAAGGATATACTCCAGGATGTCCTCGGCTACCATAAGCAAAGTCTGGTGTGCAAGTTAACCTAGCACGCTCTCCGACACACATTAGAGCAACTCCGTGGTCCCACCCTTTAATAACTTCTCCTTTACCTATTTTGAATTTAAATGGCACCCCACGGTCCCTGCTAGAGTCAAACTTTTTTCCATTGTCCAAGGTACCTATTGAACATTTAACATTTTAAAATTTTTATAGAAATTACTTTTTCAATATGCAAATAATTTTACTTTTAAACGATTTATAGATTTATAAAATTATAGAACACTTTGAACTATAATTTTATGGCGTGCTTGACCACAAGCAGTTATACAACTATTTATACAAGACGTTCAATAATTTATTTTTATTCCCGATATTCATTCCAGAACATTAAAAAAAGATATTGATTATTTATGCAGTTTATTTTCAACATACGACTCGATATGCAGATTCTGATAAACACGTTTACCTACCTGTATAGTGAACAACTACAGTCTGTCCTTTTTTCGGATATGTCTGACCTGCACATATGAAACATTATTCAGAGAAATCTAGCATTATAAATGAAAAATACAGATTTAATAAAGTTTTATAGATTCTTCGAACATACTAACAAATGCTCGCAATCACCTTATTTGGAAGAGACCGTAGACGGGACATGCTTTTCATAGAATTTCAGGTTGTAAATAAATCCGCGTTGATGCCACTGCGGCATGTTTTAAGCAAGATACAATTAAAAAGATGTAATCGAAATGAAACGCAATGTAAATAAATGGGAGAATAGATCGAACAGGGAGCAACGAAAATCATAAAAGAAAAGCGAAAGAACGCAGAATATCGAACACAGAATAATTACCATCCCCAGGAGAAATAACTTCTATCTCCACGCCCATGATTACGTATTTTCTGTCACTGCAATCAGTTCTTCTGTGAAGAGACGAGTAAATTTCGTTACACAAAGCCGGGCGGTTTGTACCGGTAAGCAGAATTCACATAAACGTGGTCCTTATGGCTGTAAAAAAACGATGCCAGTCCACTGCTGTTCGTTGAATATATGTAACAAGGTATCCGCAGATACCCTCGGGAAAGAAATTTTAACTAGAAAAGCCGCCGGTAGGTTCGCTAGTATCTCATTACTTCCGGTAACATACAGCGATCAATGTCAACATTTTCAATTGTGGCAAATTTAAACGTTGCTTAGTTTATTCAACTACTTTTTAAAAAATTGGCTTATCGGTTTTTCAATCGAATGTCGTACACGTACTTGCAATGAATTGAATGAAATTTTAAAAGCTGGTTTTTACATATTTTATTATTATTTTCATGTAAAAAATTAATAAAAAGAACAACTCAGTTAAATACAATATTTAATATTGTATGGAATTGTTAATGGATCACAAATTG